AGCTGGAAGAGTCAAGGGAGATGAGGTTGGATGTATGAAGTCTGTTTCAGAGAGCAGAGCCTAGAATGCCCTGCTTAAGATAGTAAGAAACCTCTTAATATTGTGGGATCAGTAGAGAAAACAGAAACGTAAAACCCAGAGTGTAGCTACCATCAGAACAAAACTAGGAAGTGACTTAGATTTTGTGTATTAAAATCCTTTGAACTGTTCTATGAGGTTGGAACGATTTTCTGTTACATAGGTGGAGACTCTCAGGCTCAGAGGCATTGAATGTAGCAAGAATGGTGTAATCCTTTATGTGATGGCACCTGAAGTCTCAGCACAGGCTGTGCATCTAAGAAATGGAAGATGAACTAATCCAGGAAGGAGGTGCAATTACAATGAGCATTTTACAGAGGCATAAATGGAGATTGAGAGAGATTAGCTAACCTACCTAAAGTTTCACAGTGGAAGAGTGGCAGAGCAGGGATTCAAATGAAACAGTCCAGCCCTAGGAAGCCTCTTGTCCACAGATGCAGGATTCTTTCCTGCTTTTCTTCCCTTGAGAGTGTGAATTGACTGATTTTGTTTTCCCTCTTAAGCCTCAAGCAGTGATGCTTCCTGTAATTGTCTCCTGAAAAGTAGTCAAAATAACCTAACCCCAGACAGCTTATATATGTTCTGTGTCTAGACTTCATAAAATCAGCCATACAAGATATTAATAACTTTCAAGATTCACAGTGGGTAGAAGACCTCTGGAGGCTGCTAAAAACATGACTGGGCAGAGACTGGTGCCATCTGTTTCATTCATTTAGTCAGAATATAAACTGAGCACCTGCTTTACTGCAGGACTTCATGTGAGATGCAAGGGACAGAGCAGGTCCCACATGGAGTCGCCTCCCTTTCCAGCCAGTGTAGAAATGTCCTCAGCTCGTGAAGACTGGAGAGCAAGAGGGGCAAAATGAATGAGTGGTGTGGTATTCAGGCGGTTGCATTGCTCCATTTCACATCTATCCTCTGCACCTGCTATAGCTTTATTTTTTTTAATATCCAATCTATTTTTTCCCTACTGGAGGACTTTGTAATACTGTCTTTCAATGCCTTTTTAGTGCTTTTTACTCATCCTGAATCGCTCTCCCTTGAGTCCTCAGCCCTGGCTTGTCTTTTCAAATATTTTATATATGCTTTGTAAGAAATAGTACTCTGCTTGTTAAAATCCAATCATTCTCAACACTTCATCCTTCATTAAATTGAAATTTAAGATGGCATGATCATTTTTACCTCAGTAAGTACTTCTTTGTTGGCCAGATGTAATTTTAGAAGGAAAAAATTCCTCCTCTTACTTAAGGGTCAAATTTTGAATGAGTCTGTTTTAAGACATTTTAAGAAAATCAGCTTGAAATCCTCCCAGACTGTCCAACGTTGCCTCAGTACCCACTTCAAGGTTTCCATGTTTCCCAGTCAGATTGGTTGTTCTGCAGTCAGCTCCTACAGTGATATTTTAATTTAACTCTTCTCCTTTTGTGTGCACCCTCACCAGGGATTCTGCTCGCTAGAATTCCTCCGAAGATGTCTAGTTCTTGTTGCTTCTCATGCTACTTCCTCATGCTTCTGGATCATAAAACACTATTTCTACTTCAGGTTATGTTTCAGTTATTGCCACAAAAGAGCCTCAAATTAGTGAGATATCTTTAAGAAATGAAGTTCCTTTTTAAGATTTTATTCAATCTACGCTTCTGCCTGAGATACTGGCATCCTATATCAGATGTCCAGCTGTTCTTCCTATGTAGCTCCTCACTAATGCACCCCCCCCAGAGGGGCAAAAAAAAACAGTGTAAGATAGGCCAGTAGCATAGTCCCCTGCCACCCATATGGGAGAGCCAGTTAGGTTTTGTGGCTCCTGGATTTGGCCTGGGCTAGTCCTGGTCCGTGCAGTTCATTTGGGACATGAACCAGCAAATGGAATATCTCTTTCCCTCTGTCTCTTCCTCTCATTCTATCTTTCCAATAAATAATTAACATTTACCTTTAAAGATTTTACTTGTCCAATAGGCAGAGTGATGCTGCACTCCCACCCCCTTCTTCACTTTCTAAAAACCTATAATAGCAGAAGCTAGGCTAGGGCCAAAGGCAGTAGCTGTAATTCAATCTAGGTCTCCCCTTCAACTGACAAGAAGCCAACTACTTGATTCATCAGCACTAGTTTCCAGACCCTGCATCAGCATGAAATTGCCGTCAGGTACTCAGTTACAGGATGTAGGATTTTTAGCTGGTGTCTTAACTGACAGGCTAAATATTTGATCCCAAACTTACTTCTTCATTGTCTCTACTTTATTGTCTCTCACTCAATACATCTTGACATTAGTTTATTTTCCATCTAATACTTCAGTACTGTTGCTTTCTTTTGGCCTTGCTCAAGATTAATTCTTCCTACTGTGAGAACTTCTTAGTGCCCCTGAGAAGTTTGGAAGGTGATAAGCATTCCTCCACCCATCTCATCATATTCTCTATGGTGAAGACAACCATCAAACAAAATGGGGAGCCATCATTTTGTAGCAGCAGGTTAAGCTGAAGCTGCTACTTCCCATATCAGCATCCATTTCAGAACACAGTTTGCATCCCTGCTGGTCAGCTTCCAATCCAGCCCCTGCTAATGTACCTGGGAAAATAGCAGAGAGTGGTGCAAATAGTTGGCATGGTATACTTACGTGCGAGAGCAGGATGAAATTCTAGGCTCTTGTATTCATGCTGGCCCAGCTGTGCCCATGGTGGTCATTTAGGAAGTGAATCAGCACCTGGAACATCTCTCTACCCTCTACCTTTTCCCCTCCTTGCCCTCTTTTAATATGTTTGTCAGGTAAATGCTTTTTTCATTTTTATTGTAAAGTCAGATATACAGAGGAGGTGAGAAAGAGAAGATCAACCATCTGTTGGTTAACTCCCCAAGTGATGACAATGACTGGAGCTGAGTCAATCCAAAGCCAGGAGTCTCTTTCGGGTCTTCAGTATGGATGCAGGGTCCCAAGGCTTTGGGCTGCCCTGCACTGCTTTCCCAGGCCACAAGCAGGGAGCTGGATGGGAGGCAGGACCACTGGGACATGAACCAGCTCCCATATGGGATCTCAGCATATGAAAGGCGAACACTTCAGCCGCTAGGCTACTGTACTGGGTCCAATACTTTTTTTAAAAAAAAAATAGAAATAGTAGTACAGGCATGAGAATTAATATAACCACCTCAGAATGAAAATCCACCCTGACAATGCCTGGTTGCCCAGGGCTCTGAGGTGTCTCACTGAGCCATCTTTTACAGCCCTCCCCTGAAAACTTCACTTCTGAATTATAGTCTGATCTCTGTTTGCCATCCATGTCCCAATTCTATTATGCTCCTGAGGCTGTTGTCTATAAGTAGATTAGGCATTCCTTCCACTCTAATCACACCTCTGATAAAACATCCCTGTGTTGGTTAGTTTCTCTCAGCTCACACCAGCTACATCATCTGCCTGCAGTCAATAGAGAGCCACGCAGGCCGACCTGGGAGTTTTCCCCAAATGCTTTCCATCACCAACCCTCCCTCTAATTTATCACCATATTTGTTCATCACTTTTTCTTGTTAACTTGGCATTTATAAAAATGATTATGTCCTATTATATTCATTACCTACAGTTGTGAGGTACAGTGCTAGTGATACTATTGTTATGATGATCCCGTAGATGATGCTGACAGTGTTGTGGCTTGTAGTTATTGAATCAACACATTGCCAGTTACAGTATGTACCCTTTTATCCTTCCTTTAATGAGGAGAAAAAGACTACAGAGATAGAGAGATTAAATAAGTAATATGGCTATGCTTCTACAGCAAAAAGCAGAATTCTTTCCCATAGATTTCTACTCCAGCAATTCAGATCTTAACCATGTGCTGTCCTATGCTATAGTATTCAATACTATCTTTATTTTTTTTTTTAAAGATTTTATTTTTATTATTTTTTCATTGGAAAGGCGGATGTACAGAGAGGAGAGACAGAGAGGAAGATCTTCCGTCCGATGATTCACTCCCCAAGTGAGCGCAACGGGCCGATACTATGCCGATCCGAAGCCAGGAGCCTCTTCCGGGTCTCCCACGCGGGTGCAGGTTCCCAAAGCCTTGGGCTGTCCTCGACTGCTCTCCCGGGCCACAAGCAGGGAGCTGGAAGGGAAGCGGGGCTGCCGGGATTAGAACCGGCGCCCATATGGGATCCCGGGCGTGCAAGGCGAGGACCTTTAACCACTTGCGCCACCGCGCCGGGCCCGTCAATACTATCTTTATTAAGATTCCTTATTGGCCTTGAAACAGTGTTTCATGTCCAAATACAAAAAAAAAAAAAAACCTAGCTGTCATTGTCTCATTGTCTCTTTTAAAAGATACATCTTTGGCTTTCTTCAGTGCTAGCCATTTGATTTTTTGTCTGAAAGAACTGAAACACACAAAAAAAAAAAAGGAAAAAAGAAAATATGAGCTGGTCCCAATATGAAATATGGAGCTAAAACAAGAAAATTTTATTGACTTTGATTTCCCTAAGGTTCAGCTTAAAGTAATTTAGTTCACATTCAAGAAAATTAAGATCCTATTCAATCTTTAGTTTTGCCATTCCCCCCCCCCTTGGATAAAACAAATGAGGTAGTACTCATTCACCTGGAAAGATCTATGTTTATTTTCTCTACCAATTCTAAATTCTATGTAATTGGTACTTAAAAGAATTATATAACTTGTATATCCAGGGATAAGACTAAGGAAATCATTTTGTAGGATTAATGTAAATTGTTATTTTTCTCTTGAATTTCCTATCCTGTATTAATATATAAAAGTAACCATGTTGTTAAAAGCAAGAATAATGTCATAAATAGTACTTTGGCGCAAACTACTGTCCTGTGATTATACTTGTTTTGTTGTTAATGAGATTGGCTTTCTAGTGTATGTTTCTAATTTTCCTTTTTTTTTTCTTTTCTCCCATTTTCACCTTTTACAAAAAAAAAAATAATAATAAGCTGCTGGTCAGACTGTTACTCTGGTAACACAACCTGTGGTTACCCGGGAAATCGCCCTCTCCAAACCGGAAATGCCATCTTCCTTGCTGTTGGAGGTACCTGCTCTGGCTGATTTCAACCGGGCGTGGACAGAACTTACCGACTGGCTTTCTCTGCTTGATCGAGTTTTGAAATCACAACGAGTGATGGTGGGTGATCTTGAAGACATCAATGAAATGATCATGAAGCAAAAGGTACGGTTAAAAAGGATCAAAGTTCGCAGAGATTTATCTTTAGAGTGTACATTTTCTACAGGTCAGTTCAGCGTCCCAGGTAATTCTCAACCAGATTTTAGGCAGCTTTTGTCTGTCCGCAAAATGCACTACTCCCCCTACTCAGTTCAAGTATGATCAAGAATGTGAATGAAATCAGTTGTCAAAAGTAGCCATAAATTAAATAGGAAGAATAAAAAGAAAAAAATGCATACAAGCATAGTTAAGTTCACTAAAGAACTAGTACCTTAAGAATTCTTTACCAAATAGCTCAGTGGAAATGTTTACATTTAAGCTGTTTGCTTTGGCAGTAGGCAACCATATCGTGTTGCAAAATCAAGTGTAATACTTGGCACTGGCTATTATCCACTCCTCTGAATTGTCTGTGGCAATTTTTCTCCAGTGACAACAATACATTGAAAGTTCATTGCAAATAAAAAGAGAAATGTAATAAAAACTAAGATATTTAGAATTACCTTAGATCTCAATTATGCAATACCATACCAAGATCATATATTAATAGAAGTATTGTATTTTTCAGCCTCATTTGTATCTTTTTGGTAAAAGCATATCACCATCTACAAATAGAAGAATATATAAAGTAGTTTACATATGTGGGATACACTGTCTTTTATTTTTTTCAATGGAAAAGGAAAAATTATGAAAGTTTAACACACTGTAGTTATTTCACTGGTAAAAGTTTTCAAGCCTTCCCAAAGAAATAGTAAATTGTAGCAAAGACATAGATATTACAAAAGTAACGTTTAAAAGAGCAAGGCAGGCAAAGTGAGGAGAATGTTTTTTAAATTATTTATTAGTTTTAAAGACCCATTTAGTGAGACAGATCTTTCATCCTCTGGTCCACTACTAAAGGGCTGCAGTGGCTTGGGCTTGGCCAGGCTCAAGGCAGGAGCCAGAAACTACAACTGGTTTGTCCCACATGGCACCAAGAGCCCAAGTACTTCGCCGGTCTTCTACTGCCTTCCCAGGCACATAAACACGGAGCTGGGTCAGATATAGAGCATTTGGATCGTGAACATATACCTACATGGAATGCAAATATCTCCAGTGGCAGCTTAACCTGCTACAGTGCAGCTGCAGCCTCAGAAATGTACTTTTTACATGAACTTCAGTAAGCCACTAAGAATAACAATTATTTGATTTCAAACAACTTGCATTTAAAATAACTGTGGGCTTTCTCTGATAACTGCAAATGACATGATTGTGGTTAAGCATTCTCTTGAACTTGGTTTCCTGTTCTATTTGTGATGCTGCTTCTTCTACAATTCATGGAAATTTCTTTAACATTTTGATCCCGAAAGAGGATCCAGTTGCCCTTTTTGTTGCCATATGCCCAATTTTAATACAGGGAAGTAGAGAACTTTGGTTTACAGCCTATTGCTATTTTGATGTTCTCCAGCAGGCCTAAAGAACCCTCAAAGCCTCTTCCTTCCAAAGTCCCACAGAATTAGGGAGAGGTAAATTTCTCCTCAGAGGAACTGCAATTTTTTGACAATAGAAGGAAAGAATGCTGAGTAGGTGATAGTAAATGTACTATGAACTTAGGCAAAAATGTGTCAAAAAATAAGGACAGATTAAATGAAGGATGCAATCTATGGAAGGGGATCCTTATGACATAAGCCACAAGTTAATGTATTGAAGTTTTACAACATGGAGCCCTGAGGAAAAAAAAGCCATTTATATACCAGTACTGCAAATGTACTGACCATTATACATGCAATAATCAGTTCTCAAGAAAATGTAGATTGCCTCGTGGATATGTGAATAAAATTCAGTGAGGAAATCCCACTTTTAACAGAGAAGGGAATTTGAGGATTGCAGTTGTAACTATGAAGCATGGGAAATTAACTAAGATGATTTAACAAAACATTTCAGGACTCAAAACGTAGTTTTGGGTTTGAGAGACACATCAAACCTTATACATGCAATAGCTGAAATTACCCTACAACGGTCGTTAGGACATTGCATTGGAAAAAGCTAGCTTTTTAAAAGCTGTAGTCTTTGATTTACAAGTCACATATCTGCTAGAAAATTCTTGTTCCTTTTTAACATAAGCTTAATTAAATTCTTTCTTTAGAAAATGATAGACAGCAATGACTACAAAATGAAAATATTTTTTACTAAGTGAATCATATTAACCCAAACAAATGGAAGTCAAAAATTAAAAATTAGTTTTAAAATATTATTAAATAGTCATTTTTAAAATCTAAGCAATTCTGTTTCTTAATTTCAGACAGTAGGAATTAGACTATAATGTTTTAGAGAAAAAGATGTGAAATATGCAAATTAAACATTTACAAGTCAAACATAGTTGAGATGCCAATTTTATCTCCTAGAATTGTGAATTAATATCTGTGTAGTTTGTAATTTGTATTTAGTATTGTGGAAATCTAAAATGCTTCTACGTCATCACATGTTTAAACGAAACTGCTTTCTAAAACCAATTTGTTTTGACAATGATCAGCAATTTTCTCTTTCTGACATAATCTTTCAAGTGAAGCGAAAGCTATGCCTGTACGGGTTTTTTTTTTTTATATATACTGTTTGTTGCTTTCACTGAAGAGAATTTGTTCAGTGTTACCTTTGGGGAAATGAAATGGGACAAGAGAGGAGGAAAGTGAAAAAAAGGAGGGATCGAAGCATGGAAGGAAAGGAAAAGAAGGGAGGGGAGAGAGAAGGGAAATTTGGTGACAGGTAAGTATTTCAGTTAACAAATGGGATTTAGGTGACCATGTGACACCTACTTTTTCTGCTACTGGTGGCTGATAGCCTGTACCAATGATCATATTTTTTTCAATTCATTTTGCCCAGGTTTTCATGGTATCTTAGCACTTGTATTGAATAAAGAATTTAACTAGCAGCGATGTTTTGTCCTATACTAAAACCTATCCAATTTGAGGTTGACTCAAATTCACCAGTCTGGACAACATGATAACAGTGTTGTTCTAGATTCCCTGTGAGGTACTGATTACATGGTTACCTAAAAGATTTCATTATCCAAAGATTGCATGAGCAGTTTCAGTATGTAAACTGTATATTGTAATTGAAAAACAATTGGGTGCATTTAATCCTTGTTAAGATCAAAGCTCTTAAAATTTGTTGTTTTTAACCTTCTATTTACATAAATGCTCTTGAGTGGTTTCATAATCAGTCTGGTTATAATTTTTTTTTAACAAATCCAGCCCAATGTCAAAGGAACTTGTCTCCCAAGGCCCTTGGGATTGGTGGAGTAGTATATGTGAAAGCAACACTGAATGTTTGAACTGTAAACAGAATAGGACTTTTCTCAGTGTTATCCTATTGTAGTGAGTATTACGAATAGTTTTGCTTAATCAACAAATAAAATGGTTCCATATAATTTGATTAGTGGGTCTAAGGTCATTTAGTAAATACAATTGCGTTAAGGTAAATAGAGGTCTCTTATGGGCTTTTGGCATATTCCTCAGTTTTCATTCATTATGTATTAAACACCATGTGGTGAAAGGGATCAATATTTGTGCATGTAGAGATTTGAGATAAAAATGGTATAGGTTCCAGCACTGGAGTGTATCCTCTCTATAGGAAACATAAAAAGCACAGGGCAATCAATGCCACAAAGCCAAAAGGTGCTGTGCTGGCTTCCAGAAGATACATGTTAGAATAAAAGGAAGTGTATATTCTGTATTTATTATCTCAGAAATAGAACTGCTTTGATTTACCTGGTATATTCTCCCTTCAGTACACAAGCAAAATAAACTTTAAATTGGCAGATTTAACTCATTTTAAACTTTGTTCAATTCCTGCTAATATGCCTGTAAGTGATGGTTCCAATGTTTGGATTCCTACTACTTATGTAGAAACTGAGATGGAGCTCCATGCTGTTGGCTTTGACCTAACCCTACACTGTGAAAGGGTGAGCAAGCAAATAGAATTCATTTGCTTATTCATTCTCTCACTCACTCACTCTTACTCTGTGTGTTTCTGTCAATCATTTATCTTTCAATCTCCCCTTATAATAAGTCTTTTTATAGCAATAGGATTGTTTTTACATCCTCTAAATAGCAATATAGAAATAACAAGTGAACTCATGGGAAAGCTCAAGTCAATAGTATATACAATAGGTCTCCCTTGTCTGCAATTTTGTTTTCAGGGGTTTAATTTACCCATAGTCAACTATGGTCTGAAAATATGTGAAAATCCAGAAATATTTCAGAAGTTTTAAATTGTACACCATTCTGGGTACCATAGAACAATCTTAAGCCATTCCTCTCTGTCCTGAAGGGAAATGAGTCATTGCTCTACCCAGTGCATCCATGCTGTACACACTATCTACCCCTTAGTAACTTAGTACTCCCTTCTGCCATCAGGTTTACCTCTGAGATACCAAAGTGGTTGTGTTCAAGTAATCTTTACATTTTATTCGAGTCCAAAGCACAAGAGTAATGATGCCGGAAGTTTACATATACCACAGAGAAGTGTGTTTGTTTTTAGTGATGGGGGTGAATGTTCTTAATAAGGAAAGATCTACAGCAATATTAAATCTTCTATTAGTAAAACTTGGAAGAAAAATAAATCCATGCTGTTTCTGCTGTCACTCCTGTAAAAGTGCACCAGCAAGCTTCATAATTTACAGCAGAAGGTAGTTAATGCAAAAGTCATTAAATGATAGTGTATGATACTGCCTGTGGTTTCAGGCTTCCACGGGGGTGGGGGCTTTTAATGTTTCACAGATAGGACAAAGAACACTACTGCAGATAAAATGAGTTGATTCTATATTTAAGAAATTGGAGAGAAGTGAGAAATTTACACTTGAATGCTTCATGTGATTTTTTTTCTGAAAAAAAAAAAACCTGTAGATTGTGGTACTAGAGAAAAGAATCTTAAGCAGCTTTGTTGAGACAATACTTTTCTGTCATTTCATATTATCTGAAAGTCACATAAAGCTTCCACAGGTAGAGCCAAAAGTGCCCTCTAAGAAACTG